AAATGATGTGTGCACACCCGGATCCAACACCTGGGTGTGCACACATCATATAAACAAAAAAAAAAAAAAATGACCATCACCCGGTTCAATTTTTTTTTTATGTGGGGGGTGCACACCCGGGTGTTAGATCCGGGTGTGCACCAATCATTGTCCTAAAATTTTATATTTATTTTTCATTAATCACTACATAAATGAGAATTTTTATTTAATATATATGTTACAATTATATTTTTAAAATAAAAATAAATTAAGAATAAGCATACTAAATGATATCAAAAATAAAAAAAATAAACAATTAAATTTAAAAACTAGGTATAAACGCATGGTAAAATTGAAAAAAAGAAGTAATTACTTGCAAGAGACATGCATGTCATGTAATTGACATTTATCCAACAAGAATATATATCCTTTTCTTAATAGACTTCCAAGGACACATAAACTTATTTTCTATAATGTTATGCCATTTATTTTCTTTTTCTTTCGTAAGAGCTTGCTAGTTGAAATTATCTAGCCCGGTATTATTAGAGAAATTTAAATTATTAACATGAGATCATTTTCTCATCATTCATTGCATCTACCTTTTATAAACAAGTATAAGAAGGAATTACTCTATATTAAAAAAACCACAACTAGCTGGCTAGATTAGATAGACAAAACATCATTAATAACAACATTTACGGCATATGACCAACTTGGGTTCAAGTCTTTTTTTTTAAAAAGAAATTGTATTAAAAAAATAAAAATGATATTACATATGAATTATTGTAGGACAGTGATTGGTATATCCTATATTTTAACACCCGATTCAACACCTTTTAGTTTAATCATTAAAAAATTATTATTTTTTAGTTTGAAATTAAAAACAGACAAGTATAATGATGCAATCATGCATACAGAATACAGGAACCGACTTAATTGACTATATTTATACTATATTTTTAATAACTAAACCGAAAGATATTGAACCGAGTGTTGAACTAGAGGGTGTACCAAACATTTCCCATTCTTGTATCATGGCATGTATGGTCAAAATAAAAGCATATCTTGTAGCATTAGATATAGACTTAAATTATGTCCATAATGGATATAGATAATTAACTGTGGAGAGTTATTTGTACCAAGAGATTACATTAACAAGTTTTATAAGAGTATAAACAAAGCTATTAATGTAAAAAGCAAGACCCTATGGGTGTATCTTGCATTATTAGATATTGTCAATTATTGTGCTAGCTTTTTGGGGGGAGCAAGTACTTAGATTATCAATAGTCCTCACTCACTAATATCCTTCCTATAACAAGTTGCTGCAACTATATGTCTCAGGATCCAGTCACAAGAGAAGTAGCAAAAAAA